GGGGCAGCAGTTGCTGGAGGCGAAGCCCAGGATTTGGTCCCTAGCGCACACTGCCACCTCCCTCAACCAGGCCGAGTACCCCTCCTGCATGCTGAAACGCCAGGGAGGCTCGGCCGCCGCCGCCGTCTCCGCCCCGGTCAGTGTCATCGACCGGCACCAGGATTCGCCGGTCACCAACCTCAGGAACTGGGTGGACGGGGTGTTTCACGACCCCCTGTTCAGGCACAGTACTTTGAACCAAGCCTTGAGCAACACGACAGTTTCCTGGGCCACCACCAAAGGCGCCATCCTGGAAACGGGCGCCTTGGGACGCGCGGTGGGGAACGGCGCCAGCGGGCTGAGGGGGCAGCTCTCAAACCTGGCCCACCATGACTCAAACAAAGAGTTCCTGGCCTTCCCCAAAGCAGGAAGCAAAATGTTTTGTTCCTAACGGGCCCGCCGAGGAGCGAAGGACTTTTGGACGCTTGGAGAGTCAGCAACACTGAAAACAGACTTGCGGGAGTTTAAATATAAAACTTTTCTCTTTTTTTCCTTTTTTTTTTTTTTTTTTTAACAACGAGGATTTTAAAGTTCAGTTTGCTCAGTTCATCGGACAGACTTTGCTCACTGATATTCTGAAGAATTTCTCCTGGCTGCGACTTTAAGGGATCAATGTCGTGAAAGTTATTTAATTCCATGTCCAAAAAGCACGTACTATAGCGTAGACCTACTTAAAAAAGTTTACATCCGAAAGTTTACAAATGGGAAATTTTAATTCAGATTTAATTTAAGGCATGCCGACATTAGTTATAAAGACTTTTCGAGAGTTTTTTCCTCCTGATTTCCTTGTTAGCATATAATTCACGAACAGCACTTCTACTAAGTTTACACCTACTGCACAAATTTATCTTGACAAAAAAAAAAAAAGAGACAATATGTTAAAAGGTATGTTCACTTCAATAAATTGTCTGTTTCAGAGGTAACACAAGTGGTGGCGTTTTGCATTGCGCAACAAACACCTCTTAGGTTTCCAAATTTCCCCTTGAAGCCGGTCTCGGTAATTCCAAGCATTGTCAACAGGCTGCCGGGAGACGGGAGAAGATGTTGATTAGCGCGCTGCCGCGGGAGGATGGCTAGCACCGCTCTAGAGATGCTTGCCCGCTTTCCATGCTTTGCCGTGCCCCCAGGGCTCAGCGCTGCCCCCCGGCAGCGGCCCGGGCCGCAACGGGGGTGGCAGCGGCCCGGGCCGCAGCGGGGGTGGTGGGGGGGGCGACGACACGGCTGCTCGCTGAGGCGAGGCGGAACGGGAGTAGCCTCCTTCTCCCAGACTCCCCCGAGCTGTGGGCGGACGTGGGTCGGCCCCAAAGGGCCGGGCTCGGCCGCGGCGTCGCCTCCGCCGTGCGCGGAGCAATTGATTCACATGGAAAATTTGATCTTTTAAAAGAATCGTTTTAGCTTTCTAGCTCTTCTGCCGGTATGGAGAATCGTTGATCCTCCATGAATATTTCAGCACTTCAGGACAGATGCTTTACCGTTTTGACATTAAATAGAGTGCAGCCAACAAAAAGGGAGAGGGAGAAAGAGAGCGAACGCTCTTAACGTGTGATTCAGGAGCACTCGCAGCCAATTTACCACTTAGATAACAGACGTTTAAAAGATTTCATTTTCTTCCCCGCAACGGAAACAAACTTTACTGATCCTCGGACCGGGAGAGAGGGAGAACTGCTGGAAATGAAACTGCAATGTAGTAACAGACCCCGGCTTACCCACACCGGCCTAAATCCCTGAGCTGCGGCTCCCGGCGCTGCGAGGAAAGACCGGCAGCTCCCGAAGAACGGAGAGGACACCGGACAAGCAGAAGAGTCTTTATTTTGTCTCCCAACCTCCTCGTCTATTCCACCCCGGCGGCTTCCCCCCAGCTCTCTACCTTCCCTTCCCCATAAGTAATTAATTAAATAAATAAGAACACAGTGTGGAAAAAATATATAAAGGCAACAATAAACGCATCCGAGACAGCACCCAGCCAAAATACAACATACTCCAGGCCGCAAAGTTTCTAGCGAGACCTGTTAGTGCAAGGACTGAATAAAGGAATCCGGGTGGGGAGATCAGATCGAGCTCTTCCCCTCTCTGCGAGCAGCCGTAATTGGATTGTATCCAGTCATATTCCCTGTCATTGTATTGACTTTCGCTCTCTTGGATGATATTATCGAGATCACTGAACCCCTCTGCTGATCTGGCTGTCAAAAGGCTCCGACAGGAGCCCCCGGCCTGGAAAACGTGCATCAGCCAAGATAATTTGAAGTGAAATTTTCATTTTGACAGTAAACCCCTCAATTTCTAAAGGCTCTGCACCCGGAGAGCTCTGTGGCAGGGGGAGGCTTTACAGAAAGCCCACGTCTTAAACTGAAAAGGGCAAAAGAACTCGAATTAGTTGTAATAGATAAAAGGGCAAAAATAAAGAGTCAAGGGTACTTGACAGTAATAGCGAAAGTGGAGTCTCCGGGGAGCCACGATCTCAGCTAAAGGCTGGGCCGGCAGGAATTTTAATGCAGCCGGGGCGGCCGGCGAGCTTTGCCTCTGAAACCCTTTAGACAAAGCAAATTATTTTCAGCAAAACTAAGGAGGTGGGGGGGAAGGAGGAGAGAAAGACGGAGAGGGTTCAGGCTGCCCTCGAACCGCTGGCAGAGGCAAGCGGGATGGGGGGCGAAAACCTGCTGCCTGCTGTGATGGGGGCTTCAAAGCCGGGAGGTTTGGGTGCCCAAGCCTGGCTCTGTGTGCAGTGACCGGGAGGGTGGGGGGGTGGCATCGGGCCTCCCGGTGGAGTTCAGTTTCCGCGCCACTGAGGCTCTGTGGAACAGGACGGGGCTTCCTGTGAATGTGCGTGTGTGAGCCCAAGGCTTCACCGCTCAGCAGACAAAAATCTCAGCCTCCAAAGTGTCCCGGCTCCCGTACTCCGTCCTGGGCAGGCGTTTGGCAGGATGCACTGTACGCCGTGATCGGTCATTCCTGATCGGCGTTGGCCTGCTCGGCAACGCGATTTAGTCACCCTGTCATTTCGGAGGCAACTCCTCTCTCTCCCAGGACTGAAAATGAAGGTGATAACACTGCGGGACGAAATACTGTACAGCCAAAAGACATTCGGATCAAGCATTTATCCCTTAATTTCCGTGTCATTGTCGTAGCAAAACCAAGTTTGAGTAAGTTTATGTGGGTTGCACAGCAAGTCCGGGTCCCTCCGGACCGCGGGACCGGCCGCGTATGGGATGCTGCAGGTACGGGGGTGTCTTTTCCCCCACACAGAGCAGCGTCACCCAGCCCCAGATGAGACATTATGGAGGAGGAAAAAGAGTTTCTTGCTTTGGTACCTCATCTCTCAATTAGCCATCAAATGCAGTGGTCTTTCAAACGGGTGTGTGTTGGTTTGTGAGGAGCTTTTTTTAAAAAAAAAAAACCAAACAAAACTCAACCCTGTAAACAAAAGAGTGTGAGAAATTAATTTTGCCATTTGGTTCAATAGCCCAAGCCAAAGATCAGGTCCAGCAGCTTCAGAGGGGGCTACGGGGCTGCAAGGGAAAGCTGTGCCGCTCGTGTGGCTGTACAAAGCAGGAGGAGAAAGGCAGGCTGAGAAAGAAAGGAGGG